CTCTATAATTTGTGTTAAGGGCAGAAAAAATTCTAGCAGAGATCATAAATTACTAAAAAATATATCTGTTTCCTCAGGAGAAAAAATATGTGATTAATCACTCCACTATGTTGGGACTGGTCAGAGGTTGGCTTCTACATTCATCAAATTCACTAAATAATTGAACTTCCTACTTAACATATATTGCTATGTATAGCACAGATTTGGAGGAAATTGGGTTTTTAGGTAGGACTATAAATAGAAACGCCATCTATCTTTAAACCTGTTGGTATTATGATTAATTTCAGGTTTTCATGAACTCTGAAATATTTGTGTGACAACTTAGGTTCTGATGATAAATAATTCATTTCTAATACATGAATGCATTAGGATCTAATGCATTGCATTGCCATATCTTTCTGTATCCTGATACCCCACTGCTTTCCAAACCCATATGCTGCTTTTAGTTATGACTTTTCTTTACGATTGCATCAGAAGCGCGTCTTGGGATCTCCAGGAGAGTGAGACATCAGACAGCAGAACAAAGCACCAAGAGGTTTTGCTAAAATGGCACATTAGCCCCCAAAAAGTGCAAGGAAATAAGTTGTGCTCTCTCACTGGGAATAATAAATAAAACATAACAGGGTTGTATATTTATGTCAGTACCATATATATCAGCTTGAAATCAGAAGTATTAGAAATTATATCTACGGAGCACCAGAAAAGAACGTTCAGGATACATCCATGGGTAAGTGCATTGCGGTGTGTTTGCACAGTGGAATAATATAAAGCAATAAAGAAGCGACTGATGTACAGTGATATAAGTATTTATGTTTATATGAAGTGAAAGAGGAGACGGCTAATCTCTTTGAGTCTGGGAAGGTGAGTTCCAGGAACTGGAACAGAGAGGATTTCTCTGGAGTGATGGGATCACTTTGTGTCTCGCTTCTGAGATGGTGACCTCGGCAGAAACAAATGTAAAAAAGCATCGAATGGTGCCGTTAAGAGCTGCATATTCTAGTCTATGCAAATTATACTCCAATGACTAGACTTACAATATTTTTTAAAAGGACAACAGGATACAAAAGAAATCAGTTTTTAAATCAGGAAATACATCTAAGACCAGTGAAAAAGCAAGAATGGTACATTATAGGTCCTTTTTTTTTTTGGTAGATGATTTAGTTACCAAGTATTATCATTAATCTTGGCAGCTTCAAGGACTGGAAAGGACCAAGAAAGCATATTGGCTTTTGGGTAAAATTTACTAGTAGCTTGAGGCAAATTGGATCTAAGAACTTTCAAATTACAAGTCTGTCCTGGGCGTTTCTGCTCCATCAGAGGCAATCTGGTTCCCTCCTGACAAATGCCGGTGCCCGCTAGAATTCTAAGAGCGATTCCTATAACCAATAGTCAGAGGCTCAAATTGGTCCATTTGGCTGCAGGTCCTCAAGAGAGCATGACCAGGGGCTGTGATGACCTGGCCTTGCCATGTCACCACCTCTCATCCAGACGCCTTCACTCTAACAGTGCTGTGCTCTTTGCTAATTGGTCCTTTGCAAATCCTGGCTCAAGGGAGCCATGCTTTGTCCTTTAAGGATTAACACTCCTGCCACCTGCTTTTTTCCAGTTCATGGTCTCTACCTATTGTTCCAGCAACCCCCGGGTTTATCCCTATCATCACAAGTCATCCTCTGACACTACAGCGGTCTGATGATTTCATCTGATCCACCAAAATTCCATGTACTCACTTACTGCAGAGATGGTATCTTATCTCTTCTCCCCAGAACCCAGCAGAGTGAGCTGTTCTTAACGAAAGTCTCTTTAAGATTTTAAAACTCAAACAGGTGGGGAACATTTTAGGTCTTGGATTTAAAATTGAACAAGACAAGTTGGCATTTGGGGGGATCGTGAATCATAAGAAAAAGCAGTCGGCTCTTTCAGCTAGAGTAAAGAGGCTGGAACATGAAGAGGTTAGGGAAATTTTTTTTTAAAAGTCAAATTCCAAATAGCACAGTAGCATCAATGCTTTAAAGACAGTCTATAGCCCATCCTCTTTCACAGCTGACTAATGGGGAAGAAGTTTCTAAAGTTAGACGGTCATTTTTAACTTCAGGATTCCAGGGAGCCTCACAACTCCCACCTAGTGACGGGTCTGAAAATGAGTCTGAAAACACCATTCTGCTTCGGAGGGATTTCTTCTCCCTTCTGTATCCAAATAAGCAGAGATGATCAATTGACTAATTTTTGTTAAAGACCATGATAGAAGTCCCAGTTCATAAAAAACTCCCAGTTTTTACAAATGATTTTTCTTCCAACCCTCCATTTGGCTAACTCAATGGTCCTGTGAATTCTCACCACTGCTGTGGTTTCCGAGTCAGCCCCTGCATGTAGCAGTTTCAAAGGCTTCTGTCTCATTCTTCATATGCAGTGTAGGCTCATTACAGCCCTCCCCACCCCAGGGCTGAGCTGGCGGGCCCCTGGGTGACCCCAGGCAGGCCAGCACTCAAGGACTTAGTCTCAATTTAACTGCCTTATTCCAAGCTCTGGACCAAGTCAACTCCCTAAGTGATGAAAGCAAATGTTCCCTTTGCTTGTGATAAGAAAGTAAACAGCTTTTGCTCTGCAAAGAGAAGAAAAGTAGGTTCTGGACGAGCCAAATTCAAGAAAAGCTTTTTTTCAAAGCAGAGAGATGGGTCTGCTGCGCACCCCTCCTTACTCAGTGTGCCTGCTCCCTTTTCTGACTTGAGATGGGCCTTACTCTGGTCCTTCTTGCTTGGTTTCTACTTCAATCTCCCTTCTAATCAAGTCACAATTTTCTGTCTATCCTTTGTGTGAAAAAAATCAAGATGGGGATTTTCAGAAGTTTTTTATCATCTACTTTACTCTTGTCTCTGCAACTCTGCAATGCTTGTGACAACTTCTCTTTCTTCCCGTATCTGTTTTTCTTGATTGCAACCTCTCTAATCACTTTTATATAGATTTCACACACACACACACACACAAAACACAGATACTTTTCTCTATAATAGATAATCAGAGAATGTTAGGGTTTTAAAAAAATTCTCACTTTGCATTTAATTGAATCCATTTAATTTCTATTTGAGAAATCTGGAATGGCAGAAGACAGCATCTCCCAGGCCTACTCAGGCCTTCACCAGTTAGCACAACACAAGAACTGGTGCTGCTTCGCTCCATACCTGACTCCACGGTCTCTGTGAGAAGCACCAGAGTTGGTGATAAGCACGTCACACACACACGTTCTAATGGCTGAACTATATAGGTAAGTACAACTATATGAACAAAAGCCTAGAAGCGCTCAGCATCCTCCATGAAGGGAGCAAAATCCCTCGCATGGTCGGTGGAGCTGAGTTCTTGGCTCTGAGATATCCATGACATCACCTCACGTGCAAAGTGAGCTTCTGCTCTGGGGCTCTGGGCTACTATTTGTTCTAGACGTTTGGGGCCCTTTGCTATTCACAATGGGGCATTGTTAGAAGATGCTTCAGAGAGAGAGGCCAGGAGGAACTGGTTGGGGGGTGGAGTAGGGGCTGATGGGACCCTAAAGAGAGTCCCAAGCAGGAGTGGCTGCAGGAGAAGGCCACAGCCCCTTCCAGGTTAGCCCCTGTCCAGGCAGAGACCTAGGAATGGAGGCGATCAGATGAGCCACGCCCTGCCAGACTGGACGCGCCTGTCACCTGAGCGGGAACGCTCTGTGAGGTCAGAGCAACTTCCAGGTAGTGAGCCCCAAGTGCTCTCAGCTTCTCTGGGTAGGTGGGGTTTCCCGAAGATGCCTGGGGCACACGTGTGGGCTCCCCACCAGCTCGCACACCCCCTCTGATACCCCCACTCAGCTCCCTCTGTGAGGAGGGCGGTTTGCCCTCGTCTGATGTCTGTGGTGCTCAGCTGGAGCAAGGCGGACAGCAGGTGCTCCAACTGCCCAGTGAGCGTCGGGAACCACATGCTTGTCCCTGCCAGCCTTGCCCAGACACCTGGGCCTGGGCGGAGGGAGGCAACCGTCTCTAGCCGCACTGAGAGAATAAATCCTTCTAAGCCTCCCCGGGAACACGCAGGGCCTGTAGGGTCTTCATCTCCCCACAAAGGAGAACAGGACAGTTACACTGCCAAGCTCCGCTCCTTTCCAAAGGCCGTGAAGCTTCTGGGAGGATAATTAGATTGCAAGGAGACAGAATAGAAAGAAAAGCAAATATTGGATCCTTTTGGAGGGAGAGGCCCGGGTCCTGGGCAGGAGCCGCAGGGTTTCAGGGCATCTCAGGAGCCCGCCCGTCGGAGACAGCGCAGAGCGGGACACGGAGACAGGCCTACTCTTCACATTCTCGCCTTTTGAAATAACTTTTCTTTTCAAATTAAAGGGGAATGTGAATTGTAATCAGCAACTCTTTGCTCCATCAGAAGGAAGCCAGGAAAAGGCCTCTGCTCCTCTCCCTCAGGGAGAGCCTCTGTGGCAGCAGGAGGCCAGAGAGAAAGGAGGAGACAGGTGGGCAGGAAGGCGGGGGAAAGGCACAGAGCAGGGGCAACAAGAGACCAGCACTGAGACGGGCCTTGTCTGGGAGTGGGGCCTGCTGTGTAATCCCAGCCTCGCTAGGCTGAGAGACACCCGGAGCAGCGATGGGGGAGAGGAGTCTGTAGCCATCCTGCCAGGAAAGTGATGGATAAATCACCAAGGAAAAATACTCCTCAGAAAATGCAGCTCCCTCCCAGCCTGGGTTTGTGTTACTAGCACACACCTCCTCGTGTAACGTGCTTCTCTCACAAAGCTCCTGTGGCATAAGGGACAGCAGAACATGTGCTAAGGTGGCGTTATGATGAAGCTAGCCTGCGCTCTGCCAAGGAGGAATAACAGCCCAAGGTCAGACTGGGTATGTGGCCTCAATTGTAGTTCGTGGCCGCCACATGGCAAGGCTCCTGGATAATGATGCAGAAACGCCCCATGTGCCCCAACATGAGCTTCTCCCCCTCCAGGCACCAGCCCCTCCTGTGTCCTGTCCCCACGGAGCTCCTACCTTCCACAGTGGCTCGCTTGGGCTGAATGGTGATGGCGCCCTCCGCGATGTCTTCGTGCTGGTGCAGGGGGTTGACTTTGGATCCCCAGCTGTCTGACCCCACCCAAAGAAAATGACCCACTTGGTCGGCCCTCTTGGCTGCTGCAAGGATCTGCCTGTAGAAGAAACAGGAGAAGGCGCATTAAGGAAAAAGAGTAGGGCTGAACACGGAGAATCAAGCAGAAGGAAACAAGCTACCAGCTCTCCAACCGAAACTTAAAATGGCCAAGAGGTAGTCAAAGGCTTGATATCCTTCATATATAAAGAGATTTTGTAAATCAATGAGAAAACTCATCAAAACAGCTTCATGCAATGGGCATGAAGAGTCAAAAGGTAAAGGGAAATAGAAATAACCCACTAGCTGGAGACACAAGTCCCCACGCATTAGAAGGAGAGAAACGTAAATCCAGTTCATGTATCAGTCCTGTTTGAAATATCTTTTGCTTTGTGAGTACTGACAGGAGGCTGGAGAACTGGCCTGCGTTCACAGGCGTGTGTCACTTCTGGGAAGCAAGGAGCCTATGAGATGGCAAAGCCCCAGGTGTCCCTCTCTTTGTCCCAAATATGGAAAGATAATTTTCTTTTTTTTTTAAAGATGTATTTATTTATTTATTTATTTATTTATTTATTTATTTATTTATTTGTTTATTTATACGAGCACTGGGTACAGACAGAAGCGCAGGAGGGTGAGAGAATTTACCAGAGCCAGAGCAGGGAACAGAACAGGAAGATGGATGAAATACACTGCTGAGGGGAGCAGCGGGCACAACAGGAGAGGTCTGCATGCCATGTGGGACCCTCGCTGGCGGCTGGGATGGAACCTGCACTGCATAGGCTGCGGGCAGCTTCGCAGCCCGCGCTCAACTGCTGCGCCACCAGGGGAGGCCCTGGAAAGATAATTTTCTAATTTTAAAGAATAGGTTCTGATAATGGAAATACCCAAATGGCAGAAAGTTGTGGGCGAGATGACAAGTTAAACAGGAGGGTGGTGGTGTGCTAGGGATGGGCATGGGTAAGTGAAAGCTACCAGCAAGGCAGGCATGGTGGGACCCTCGAGGGAATTTATGGTCCTGGAAAACAAAGGTAGCTCATCCCAGACCAGAAACTTTTTCTGGAAAAATCTGAAATACTCTAGAAAAAGATCCTAGATGTTGCTAGAGAAATACACTCAGGGAAGGACAGTTGGGAGCTGGCCAGTCCACTGAGAACACCATCAGCTGCCCATGGACATAGAACCCTTTGGTGTTTTGCTGAAATAGGAACGGCCAGAAATCAGCCATAATAGTGAGAACTCTCCAAAATAAAACAGAAACCAAATAAATCAACAAGAAAAAGGAGACTGGTGTGGGGCGGGGCAGAAAATATATATGAAAAAGAACAAAACAATACATTAAATAAGAATTATCATCGGTAGGTAAGAACACAATAAAACCTCCAATAATAAATAGCTCCTAGTTATTAAAGATATTGAAGTCATATCAGTTGAGGTAAAGAAGAAAGTGAAGAAAACTCCCCAGCGAGCAAATAATAACAAAAAGGTAGAATATAAACAAGAAAAGAATGTTAAAAATTGAAACCAAGAAGACCTACATCCAGCTAATAATAGAGCTGAACAAATGTGTCAGGAAAATAAAGTGACAGCTTTTATTTTTCAATGAAGAGAATCCAAGAAATTGAAAGGATAAGTTTCCAAATTAAAAAAGGCTTATCCAGCAAATAATGGAGAAAGATCAAGCACATCATAAAATGTAAGATCTTTGGAATCCATGAGCACATCCAAAGAAACTTCAAGAAAACATCAGGACACATGCAGAGAAACAAGAAGGGACTTTCAAGAGCAAAACAATCAAACAAAAGAACACAGTAAAACCAATGGAAAGATGATGAAGGATCTATTGCAGAGCGTCCAAAATTCCATGGGAAGAAAGCCATCTCACAATCTAGAATTCTAATATATATGGTTTTTTTTTTTTTTTTTTTTTTTTTTTATTTATTTATTTATTTTTTTTTAAATATTAAATTTTATTTTTATATTCCCCCATACAATTGCAAATGCCCCATTCTGTTTTTAATTTCTTTTTTTTAAAGATTTATTTATTTCTGCATATAAGAGCTAGGGTACAGGCCAGAGGTATGAGGGTGAGTGGATTCACCAGAGACAGAGCGGGGAACAGAACAGGCAGATTGACCAAAATACACTGCTGAGGGGAGCGGCAGGGAGACAGGAGAGGTCTGCTGCACCATGTGGGTCAACTCCCTGGCTGGGGATCGAACACATGCTGCAGAGGCTGCGGACAGCTTCATAGGTTGAGTCCTAGCCACTTGCACCACCAGAGAGGCCCCAGCTTTTTTTTTTTTTTTAATTATTTTTTTAAAAAGATTTATTATGCATACAACTGGGGTACAAGCCAGAGGTGCGGGGGACGGGGTGTGAGATGATTCAGCAGAGGCAGAGTGGGGAGTAGAACAGGTGGATTGACTGAAATATGCTGCTGAGGGGAGCAGCAGGTAAGTCAGGAGAGGTCTGCTGTGCCATGTGGGTAGCTCCCTAGCCACGGATCAAACTCATGCTGCAGTGGCTGCCAATAGCTTTATAGGTTGCATCTTAACCCCTTGTGCCACCAGCGAGGCCCTAGAATTCTAATATTTGACACACAGAAAATTCCTAGACAAGTAGAATGGCACATTGGTCTAGTTGGCCTTATAAATATTTGCATCTCAAATTTGAACCTCAAACTCCCTGGGAGGTAGGAGTCACGTAACATATTAGTCAGCACAGCAAGATGTATATGCTATGTGTGTGACAAGTATGACATACTTATAGCTAGAAAAGAGGACACAGCTTACATTTCCAAGTACTAATTACATGTGGAGGCAGAGTAAGAACATTTCTGGAAATGGAATACAGTTTTCCTTTCATTTAGCCTTTGTTAGAAAGTTATTGGAGGATATGTTCCAGCAAAATGAAGAAAGAAGCCCCAAATAGAAATGAAAGAAAATTCTTAATACTATAGATACTAGTCTTAAATAAAACAGAAAGATGGAAATTTTAGGAAGGAAATGTCCAGGAAAAAAAAAAAAAAAGGAAATCACAGATTAGCTTCTATCTGGACATATGGGAAATACTGGTAGACCTGTGGCATTAATAATAAATAAAAATTAAAGATACTTATGTAAGAAAAAAAATCATGTTAATTCCATATAATACAAAGTTCTCTCTTAAAAAATCATATCATAGAAAAAAATCCTTAATGCCATAGCACATAATATTTGCATATTCATAATAGTATAAACATTGATTTTTATTTATGAAAATCTGGTAGAACGATGCTGGGAGGACAGAGGAGGTATCAGTGTGTTAAACTCTACCCAATAGAAGAAGGCTTAATACATAATGTCTGAAGTTAAAATTTCAAGGCTGCATTAGAGACACATTAAGCAGAAACGACAGGGAGAAACAGCTTGAAGAGTTAAAACAGGTGCTCAAAGTCCACGGAGCCAGAGCAATGGAGGGGGCGTGGAGGTCAAGATTTTGTGTCATAGGCACTTCTGCTTATTTTGTGAATACGTGCACTTACTATTTTCATAAAAATAAAATACCAGGGCCTCCCCTGGTGGTGCAGTGGTTGAACGCTGGGCTGCGAAGCTGCCCGCAGCCTCTGCAGTGCCGGTTTGATCCCCGACCACTGGCGAGGGTCCCGCCTGACGCGCAGAACTCTCCTGCCGTGCCTGCTGCTCCCCTTGGCAGTGTATTTTGTCAGTCTGCCTGTTCTGTTTCCCACTCTTGTTCTGGTGAATTCTCTCACCCTCCCGTGCTTCTGACTGTACCTAGTGCTTGTATAAATAAATAAATTTTAAAAAAAAAAAAATAAAATAACATAGATTATTTATGCGCTTGACCTAGAGACACCTTTTCTACTGATATATCCAAAGGAAATGATCAAAGAACATATGTCAAAAACATATGCTCGTTCCTGGAGACGACCCAAATGCAAAGCAACAGGGAACTGGTTGAACAAAGGATGGTGCGTTCAAAGATGAAAAAGAGCAATTAAAATAGACCCAGTTTGATTTCCACAAGGTATTGTTAAAAAAGATAAGTCCAATTAAAATTTAAAAATTATAGAAGAAATTCTTTTGCGATGAAAGCTGTCTAAAACTTCCTGTGTATGTATATATTCAGAGTTAGAAGGATTGGGTCATCTGAGAGACCACAGTTTTGGGTAACACACAATTCAATGTTAACAATAAAAATTCACTGAGGATTTGCTAGCAGGTTTGAAGAGGATGAGAAAGGGAGAAGCCGCAAGACCAGGAATAGAAGATGCAGCTGATATAAACACAGAAAGCACAGGTCTCTCATATATTTATGTAAAAAAGTGGGTCTCTTTATTAAGGCAGCTAAGATTACACTATTTCAAAGTACATAGTTATGAAAAGGGAAATGTGAATTGCAAAAAGAGGAATAGAAGACTTAGGTGTGTTTGGAAAAAACTGATTGTAAACCAGAATTTTATTAGTGGTTATCTCTGAGTACTGGGACTGCAAGCTTTATAGATTATTTAAATTTTATAGATTCGTCTCTCTAACCTTTACTTTTTCTAGAAAAGCAAGCGGTTAAGGCAACTTCAGGGCTTACACCAACAATATGCTTTTCATAGCTACAGTGGAAGTACGACAGCCATGCATTACATGTACAATTAGAACTGAAAAAAAGAATCCGTTCTTGTCTAAAATCCAAATTATCGGCACCCATGACTGAGTTAACACTTATCGTAGTTTCAAATCTAGATATTAATGTCTTTTGACTGCTCTTCTCTGACAAAGCATTTGAAGTTAATGTTCTAAGAAATCTCTCAAGTTCTCATCTCCAGTGTAAATCATCTGAAGACAGAAATTACACCACATGGTGGGTTATCAGGGCTCCCCAGACAGTGAGTGTCCAAGACCAGGGTCGGGAGAAACATACATGCCCCTGACTTTCATGAACACGGCCCCAAACAGTTGCTGCTGTTGTGCCTGTGAATCACATACACAATGTTCACACAGCCAAACCCCGAAGCAAAAAAATGCACGAAGCTGTTGGGTGGAAATATGCATTTTAACATCCCAAATTAACAGCTCATGCTACCTGTAGTCAAGAGGAACAGCCAATTAGTCACCATACCTATTTGTATTAAATCTTATATGTGTGTGTACAATGTATTTAAAAACAAGCAATGAGGTCATCCCTTATTAATGTATGACATATTTAGAAAATGTATGCAATAGCTATGGAAAAGATTTAGGAGCTGATTAACAAGGTAACAGAAATGAAAGGAAAACAAGCCAAAAAATGAGATTTAAATTATGAAAAGAAAAATCCCTTAAACACATCAAAACAAAGTATGGAAGAAAAATGTCCTAAGAGCAATATTACCAACATTTTGTAAGAAGAGAAAGGACACATATAAGGAGTGACTGGTTTCATGGATACAGGCGTGCCTGAAATAGTTTATTTTTTTTCTGTGGAAGAACTGGGGTGCAGGCCAGAAGTGAAGGGGGGTGAGAGGATCCACCAGGGACAGAGTGGGGAGCAGAACAGGTAGATCTACTGAAATATGCTGCTGAGGGGAGCAGTGGGGAGACAGGAGAGGTCTGCTGCACCCTGTGGGTAGCTCCCTGGCGGGGACTGAACTCAGACTGTAGCAGTGATAGCCTGAGACTTAACCCCTAGGCACGAGGGAGACCCACGCCTGAAAGAGTTTTGAAGAACAGATGCCATTTCAGTGGGTTGAGAAGAAAGAAACACCACCTGCATAGGTGATGATGCAGGAGGGGCTGGGACAGCATCCTGAATGGAAAATAGGGGAGGGAGGCTAAGGTCTAAATGCTAAACAGGGCCATATTGTAAAGCACATAAAGTTCAGAGAGAGAGTGAGAGAGAGAGAGAGAGAGAGAGAGAGAGAGAGAGAGAGAGAGACCTGTACTTAAATTCTGAAACAGGCAGTAGGCCAGGCCCTTCAGATCGATTTATTTGCTCACTGTCACTCCCTGAGTGCCTACTAGGTCCTGAGCACTGTGCCAGGGATTGAAAATAAAAAAGGCGGCAAAAATCTCAGTCCCGATGCTGCTTCCAGGCAAGTGGGGAAGAAAGGCACTAACTCAATGACCATGTCGTGAAACACCATCAATGACGCAGATTTGAGATTGGGTCATTTGGAAGACTTTGCCAAAGTTGCATTGTTCAGAAAATCTTCCCTCAGAAGCAGCTGCAGAGACGGCACTGGGATCATTGGCTGCCCAGGGAGCCGGGGAGGACTCCAAAGGAAGAGATGGTGTCCTTTCAGGAGCATCCCCTGGGCCGCCAGCCCTCAGGCCCAGCATCCCTTCCACCTGACAGTGCTGCCCCGGCACTCAGAACTCAGCACTGGGAGGTGGTGGGATTTGGGGTGGCATGTAGGAGGGACGTGGGGACCAGGAGGTGGGCGATGATAACAGGACAGCCCAGGAGGAGGGGAACATGGCCTGGGCATGCAACCCTGACGAAAGACCTTCACCTTCAAGTTCCACGCACTTTAAACGAGAAGAGTCTGGAAAACCCACACAGCTTCTCACACCAGTGGGAACGTGAGTAAAAGTATGTTGTCACTTACATAAAAATGTAGAGATTGTCTGCAGAAGAAAGTAAGAAACTGCTAATTAGCCATTCTATCTGAAGAGAACGTGTTAGCTCAGGGACGGCATGGATGAAACTTTTTATGAAGCCTAGATATTCTTATAGTTTTGAGATTTGTGTCAAGTAATATCATTGCTTATTCTAGGAAGAGAAAGCAGGGCCAGGAGGAAGTTAAAGGGAATGAGAAGAGAGAGAGGAGGAGATAGAACATTCTGGATCAGGATGGTAACCATCAGAAAAGAAAGTTGAAGATATTTCTGTTCTAGAAATATTTCAAAGGTTAGCTCTCCATGACATGGCCAAGAAGCTGGAGGAAAACAGCAAAAGCAAGATGCTCCTGGGCTCTAGTTCAGAGGTGCTCCCGCAGGGAGGAGAGGTGGTTGCAGGATGTGGAGGTGTGACTGTGGTGACTTCGCGCATAGGGAGTCCAGCGCGAGCAACTCTGAGAAACTCACCTCTTTTCCATAAAGAGGAACTACTCCTTGGATAAAAGTTTGCTATACCTGGAGATGTGCTTCTATGCGACCCTCTAAAAGCCCTATTGAATGTATTTTTTTGCTGATGGGGGTGACACACGCCCCGACCAGGCCTCTCAGTGGTTTGCGTCGCTGAGCACGTGGCGCGCTGCCAGGTACCTGCAGTGTCACCTTCATACACCGGCCCCTGCCCCCTGGCCCGGGCCCACCTAAAGCTGCAGCATGCAGAGTAAGGCACATGGCCCTGCCTCCTTACTTTATATCCTCATCATTGGCAAAAATCACGACGGCCCTGGAGTTGGGCGTGTCCAGGAGCTGCTTGATAATCCTGTCAAAGTCGATGGTTCTGTCTTTGCGTTCTTGGGGGATTCTCACGGACTGGGCAATGCAGAGCCCACCTGTTTGAGAAAAGAAAGCAGAAAGTCAATAAAGCCCCCATGGAGGTGCCAGAGGAACGGGGAAAGTCATGGGGAGGAGGGAGCGTCGAGGAATGTCCCTCAGCGTGAGGCTGAGTCCTGGGCTGTGCATGACGCTTCACCCTCCGTGGCCTCACACCACAGCCTTCTCCTTGGAATGCACCTGCACATGGCTAGCTATGTCCAGGACACCAAAGATAGCAACACGAGTGAGGTGAGTGGGAGAAGAAAGCTTGAAGCGCAGCAATGTGTAAACGTGAAGCTACAGAACTGTGATAGACGCTATCGTAAACTACAACAAAAATAAGCACCTGAAGTATTTACTGCAGGTGCTGATCTCTGTGACTTTTCTAGAGTTCATAGCCCCAGGATCTTCCCCCTTCATATCCACCCTAAATTTTAAAGCTCGGTCATTGGACTAGATCTCGAAGTAAAACGAGAACAACAGTAGCAACGATGGTGATACCAGCTAATAAAAATTAGAGCAACAAACTTTAATTGATAATGAGCCTGGAGCTCAAGCCACAATTGTTTTATGTGTGTTATCGCAACAAAAAAGCTTTACAAAGTGGGGAGCCTTCCAAGTGGCCTAAGGGTTAAGTTTCAGTGCTATCACCACTGCATGAGTTCGATGCCAGGCCAGGGAGCTACCCACATGGTGAAGCAGACTGTCCTGTTTCCCTGCTGCTCCCTCAGCAGTGTGTTTCAGTAGGTCCACCTGTTCTGCTCCCCACTCTGTCTTTGGTGAGTCCTCTCACCCTCCACACCTCTAGTCTACACTCCAGTCTTCTATGTATCAATCAACCAATCAATCAATCTTTAAAAAAAAAAAAGGTTTACAAGGTATTTAGTGTTATCCATTTTATGTTAGAGGGAAGGGGATTAAACAGACAAGTAGATTTAACTCCAGACCTCTCAGAACTGTTCTGATTCTATTAATTGACTTTATGAATTTCAAGACAGGGACACGAGCAGCAGTTGACTAAGCGGCTAATAGGCTGATAGACTTGCCATTACCCTCTCATTTTTGTAGTAGCTCCCAGATCTAGAATTTCACAAAACACACTCTGAGACTGGTATAGATGAAAGAGTAGACAGGAAGTGGGTAGGTGTAAGGGGCAGGACTGGATACAGTGCAGGTTTTCTGATCCCATGCAGATCGGGTAAAGGAGGAGTCAGAGTCCTCAGTAGTTTTGCAGGTTTTTTATTTGGGGTTCACCAGGCATATGGCAGGCAGGGGTGCTGGCTGGGGGGCTGGGAGGCTGGCAGGCCTCCCAGCCCCAGCAAGTCCTCACTCTATCTGGGCTCTCTAGCGTTCGTTCTGCTGCTTCTCGGCTTCGGCTTCGGCTTCGGCTTCGGCTGCGGCGGCTGCTGCTGCTGGTGCTGGTGCTGCTGCTGGTGCTGCTAGCGTCCCCCCGTGACGCCGCCCTTAAAAGCAGTCTTAGCTCAGCTGAATCCCATCTACCTATGCCCACACCCTATTCCAGGTGCCCACCATCAGGCATGCATTCAGGACAAGGATCCATCATCTATCCTGATGGCGGAAGGGCAGAAAAGCCTGATATTTTCTTTACCCTACAGTCCACCCCCTCAGGGTTTTCTGCCATACAGTCTATACATATATTACACAATTTCTAAGCAAACAAACAATGCAGCCATGGCCCACAAAGCAAACATCAATAAACAAAATACAACATAACAAAATACAACAGAACACAAATAAGTCCAGGCAGGGCACCAACCAAGTGCAAAAGACAATTATTGGTACCAGCAGATGAGCCACCAAATCTGCTGCCGAAGGCACTGCTCATGCGAGGGAGGGGAAATCACACACGGCATCTGCTATAACACACCAGGAGCCGTCAGGCTTCCTGGCCTTCTCTGGCTGTAGTCTCGGCTACAAGGCATACACAGCATCCACCCCAGGATGCACTAGCTCTGGGATTGGCAATTTTATTCTGTTGGGGGTAATCGCCAACCCTCAGGGTTTCTGTCTGCAGTCGCTCCAACACTCGGCCTTCATGGCCACCCATGCGACTCACAGACCCCTGCTCTCAAGCCAACCCACTGCACAAGCACATGGGTTGGGGATCCAAACTTTGCATTTGGCTTGGGCTCCACCCCAAGCCACATTCCCCACCCGTCCCCCAAGGACGGGCTCCTCAGCTCCTCACCCTCACTCAAGAATGAGCAGGGCATCACCCATAGGTGATTTTACGAGACTCACAGGGCTTCAGCATACCCAGGCTGCTTAACAGCCGCTTTAGGGCTTCTCAACTTAGCATCAGTACCAGCTTTTGCCACCTTAGTTGGCTTTTCTCCTCCACCTGGCCACTGGGCATACACAGGCTGCTTTTGGCCATCTAGGCCCACTGGCCCCCCAGATTCTCAAAAAATAAACATAACCTGCTAAGGTCCTCCGCCTTCTGGCGGGATTGTCAGTCCAAAATCATCAGTTCATCAGTCTATCAGTCCATTGGCCTCTCCCTGCTTCAGCAATGGCCTGCTGCCTCAGGGGTCATTGGCTGGTCCTTTCTGGTGTCGTTGGCTGGTCCTATCCGGTTCGTTGGCTGGTCTATCCGGTGTCGTTGGCTGGTCCTTTCCGGTGTCGTTGGCTGGTCCTTTCGGCGTCTCCTTCACGCCAGGTCTCATCCTGTAGCTCGTGGACGATCCATCTTCTATACCGCCATGGTGCCTCCAGCGTCGTCACAGGCAAAGTCTGCTCTCCTTAGTCCCTCCAGGTCTTCGGAGGGCTCCAATACCCGTCTGCATGGATCCTGCCGACTACGCCAATTGTAAGGGGCAGGACTGATACAGTGCAGGTTTTCTGATCCATGCAGATCGGGTAAGGAGGAGTCAGAGTCCTCAGTAGTTTTGCAGGTTTTTTATTTGGGGTTCACCGGCATATGGCAGGCAGGGGTGCTGGCTGGGGGGCTGGGAGGCTGGCAGCCTCCCAGCCCCCGCAAGTCCTCACTCTATCTGGGCTCTCTAGCGTTCGTTCTGCTGCTTCTCGGCTTCGGCTTCGGCTTCGGCTTCGGCTGCGGCGGCTGCTGCTGCTGGTGCTGGTGCTGCTGCTGGTGCTGCTAGCGTCCCCCCGTGACGCCGCCCTTAAAGCAGTCTTAGCTCAGCTGAATCCCATCTACCTATGCCCACACCCTATTCCAGGTGCCCACCATCAGGCATGCATTCAGGACAAGGATCCATCATCTATCCTGATGGCGGAAGGGCAGAAAAGCCTGATATTTTCTTTACCCTACAGTAGGGAAGTTCCCAAAGGCCAACCAGTAGGAACAAGTCCTTGGGGCAGCGGGCAAGAGAACAGCTCTGCTCTGTTTGTAATGTGCTGGCGAGAGGCTGGTGATGGCACAATCACACCTGAACAGTGAAGCCAGGGTGGCGCTGCCAGGCCGTCGCAGACACAAGTATCCGCTCCAACCCCACACTGAACCAGGACACTTTAATCAGTGTTATCTGTGCACAAGTGGCTCTCAACCCTCAGTGGGAGTGAAATCTGCTGTGATCCTTCTCAAAATGGTCTAACAACACTTGCAACCAACTTGACCTAATTGATGTTTGGAGAACAAGCCCACAGGACTGCAGAAGATCACACAAGAGCTCAGTACAAATGGGACATTCACTAGAGAGACCCTGTTCTGGCCATAAATTAAATCAAGTTGAACCATAGAAACTACACAAAGTATATTCTCAGACCATAATAGATCAATATAGAAATCATAATTAATAGTTAAGAGGCAAATCTCCAAACACTGGGAAATTAAACAACTCATAGGTCAAGGAAGAAATGTGAAGGGAGACTTTAAAGTGTTTCTAACTCAATGACAATGACAGTAAAATGTAAAAAAAATATATATAGATTGTTGCTAAAGTGGTGTTTAGAGAGACATACATATAATTAAATGCTGATGTTATAAAAGAAGCTTACAAAGCCAACATCCTGAGTGTCTACTTTACAAAAGAAGAAAAAAAGAATCAAATACCATCCCCCAAAGAAGAAAGGACATAATAAAAATAGAAAAAAAACAATGAAATTGAAATCAGAATAGAGAAAATCAATGAAACCGAAGCTGCTTCATTGTAAAGACCAATAAAAGGCAGAGACCTCTAGTTGACCAGAGTGAGCTCTCATGAGGGACCACCACAGGCATGAAAAAGGAAAACACGACTGATCCTACAGGTAGGAAAGAACTTTGTACCAATAAATACATCAACTTAAGTGAAATGGAAGAATTCCTTAAAGAAGCAAATGGCCAGCAGGAAATGAAGGTTAGGATAACCTGAATAACCCTTGAAATATTCAAGGTACCAAATTCAAAGTTCAATAAATTCTTAAAGAGAAAGATCCCAGTGTATAGGGGTTCACTCATGCATTCTAACAAACTCCCCCAGAAAACAGAAAAGGAGAGAAAATGACACATTTTTTAAGCACCATAGTACCCGGATAACCCAGTCAGAACAGATAGGAACAAAAATAAATAAATAGGTACCATTGCCATTCATGAAGATGTTTGTAAAAATCCTATAGAAATTTAACAAAACAAATGCAGCAATATATAGAAAGGATAATACATAATAACCCAGTGGATTTTATCCAAGGAAAGCAAGGCTGATTCATTGTTTGAAAATCAATTGTTATTCACACATTATCAGATTAAGAAAAACCACATGACCATCTCCATACATGCAGAAAAGCAGTTAGTACAATTCAGAATGCATTCCTGTTCAAAAACTCAAACTTACTAGAACTTAGTAGAAGGGAACACTCCCTTCACTTAATAGGACATACCTACAAAACGCCTACAACAAAGAACATACTTAGTCATAAGAAATGACAGGGTGAGATAGTCCTCTTACCCCTGCTTTCAACATGGCACTGGAGGTCCATGAGGAAATAAAGGTAAGTAAAAGCTATGTGAGTTGCAAAGAAAAAAATGAGAGAGTTTCTAAATGCAAATGACAGGATT